TTCCCAGGGAGGCAGGCCCTCCCTCGCTCACACGTACGAACAGGGCCCTCTCCTGGTGTGTGCTGGCATAACCGACAATGTATGGCCTGAGGTCTAGAAAACCATACAAAATTTGAAAAAAAAACTTGGTGATTCCTATTTTCCTAATGACCACCTTATGATTTCCCAGGGTAGGAGACATTAGAGGAAACACTAGATATTAATAACAGAATTTCCTAAAGACACACACATATATATAGATACTTAACAAATGCTGATTCATTTCAGATTACATTCAACAAATATTTATTAAGAACCCGCTATGACCAGACCACCTGCAGACACTTGATCGACAACAGACATACCACGGCCCGACAGATCAGGGCAAGGACGTCTTTTCAATAAGTAGTGCTGGGATAATTTGGAAAGAAATGAGATTCCTACACCCCATTAAACGAACACAAACATCAATTCCAGGTGAGTAATAGGCTTAAAGGGCTGTTTAGCCTCAAGAGGCTAAACTCTACAACTTTTAGAAGATAACATATCTTCATGACTACGCATATCTTCACGACTAGAGATTTCCAAAAAAAAAAATCCAAGAGTACCCGTCATAAAGGAAAAAATGATAACTACACTAAAACTTATCATCAAAAGATAAACCACAGTAATGTATTTGTAATATTTTATTCATAATACATAAATAATGCCTAATATCAGTAAGAAAAATATAATTTAAGAAACAGGCAAAAATGTGAACCGTACTTCACTAAAGAGGATGAGCAAAGGGCCAGTAACACATGGAAAAGGGCTCAGCATCATTAGTCATGAGGTAAATCGAAGCCATGATCCACCAGAATTGCTATGATTATAAAGATGGACAAATTCTACTGTTTAAGAGGATATGAAGAAATTAAAACTCTCATCCAGTGCCGAACGGGAGTGTAAATTGGCACAGTTTGTAAAACTGTAAACCTACTGAAGCTAAACTACTAGGTTTAGCATGTTAGGTAAGCTATTTTTACCTAATAAAAATGAGACATGTCCACCAAAAGACATGTACACAAATATCCATGACATTTTTATTCATAATGGTATCGAACTGAGAACCAGCCAAATGTCCACTCACAGTAAAACGGATGATTCAGTTAGTCTATTCATGCACCGAGAATGCCACGCCATAGCACAGACGAATCTCACAGACATAATGTTGGATGACACAGGTCAGACAGGAAAGGGAAGACACACTGGATAAATCCACTTATATGACATTCGAAGGCAAGCAAAACCAATCTCCGAGAACATAAGTCGGGTCCATGGTTCCTTTTGGAGCACTGACAGGAAGGGGCAGGAAACAACCACCTATGATACCGTACACGTTCTATATCTAGACTTGAGGTGGGGGTTACATGGGTGTGTACTTTTATCAAGTGGTACACTTGGGATTTATGCATTGGACTGCATGTATATTTTAATTGAAACCACCAGATCACTCTACAAAAAAACAAAAACCACAAAAATGACCCCACAGGTACATGGGTTTCTGTACTAATACTGAACCCTGAATTTTTTTTATTTTTTATTTTTTTTGAGACAGAGTCTTGCTCTGTTGCCCTGGCTAGAGTGAGTGCCGTGGCGTTAGCCTAGCTCACAGCAACCTCAAACTCCTGGGCTCAAGCGATCCTACTGCCTCAGCCTCCTGAGTAGCTGGGACTACAGGCACGCGCCACCATGCCCGGCTAATTTTTTCTATATATTTTTAGTTGTCCAGATAATTTCTATTTTTTTTTAGTAGAAACGGGGTCTCACTCTTGCTCAGGCTGGTCTCGAACTCCTGAGCTCAAACAATCCGCCTGCCTCCGCCTGAACCCTGAATTTTGAGAAACATTCATAAGCACCCAACTTAATGAAGAAAATATACTTTTGTTCAAGTGATCAAACTTTTCAATTTACATTCCCTCTACTTATATATATTAATGATATATTAACAATCTCTGTTAAAAGAAAAAGACAAGCCAAGAATGAGAGAAGGTATTTTAGCACGTGTACCGATATGGTACCTACAACCAGAAAGAACTCTGCACATCTATTAGAAAAAGACAAAATGAAAAAGAGTAAAATGGACAAAAGACTTCTCACTTTCCCCTTTGCACTTGTCAGTTTTTCTAAAACCAGCATATACTGCTACTATTCTTAATTTAGAGGTCAATAAATAATACATAAATACACTCTCCTCGTGAAAAATGAAGACATTCCAGTTAAAGCTAAAGGCCCTGTTGACCTCTAATCCTGGTTTTCTCTCTAATACAGAGAAAATGACTGTTAACAGCTTGGTATACTTTTTTCCTAGATTTTTTTCAATGCGGTGTTATTTTGTGGGTTTTATTATTTGTTTATATGTGTGGCATTATAATGTGTGTCTTGTCCTAGAACTTGCTTTTTTATGTTTAATATTATGTCTTTCACCATTTGTTACGCTGACATGTGCAAAGCTACTTTATCACTGTATTTTTTAACTACTTCAGAGTCTTCCATAACAACGATCGTTCCATGGTGTATAGCCCTTCCTCTGTGGATGGCCATTAGGCATCTTTCTTTCCTTTTTTTATGCCATTAGTTTTCCTGTTTCATAAAGAGCAATGGATATGTCACTTAAATATTTATTTTCAGCTTCCTAAACTAAAAAACTCCAGCAAGTTCATGCCTCATTTTAATCTCAGAAAGCAGCCTTGGCTTGGAGATCTCCCTGGTCATCTGAACAGAGAGCAGAGAGCACACTTTGGCCATCCCTGATCCTGTGCTGTGTGACCTCAGGTGAGCTGCTCTTCTCTCTGGTTCTCCATTTCCTCACGTATGAATACAGGGGGTTGGAGTATACATGCTCTAGAGCAGCGGTCCCCAACCTTTTTGGCACCAGGGACCAGTTTCGTGGAAGACAATTTTTCCACGGATGTGGGTGGGGGATGGTGGAAGTGTGTGGCCCAGGGGTTGGGGACCACAGCTGTAGGGGATCTCTCTCAGCTCTGAGGGTCTTTGATCCTGAGTGTCCTATAGTTCTCAGTGTATATGCAAGCGGCCACTCAGACAGGGGTGCCTCAGAAAAGTTTTTCCTTTCCTTGCAGCCCTCATCAACAGTCTGCCTCCTGGAGTCTGCACAGGGGAAGCTGAACTGATGCTCCGAGTCCCAGCTCCTCATGAAAGACACTCAGGAGCTGAGTCTTCAGGGACCTGCCCTCTCCACCATCTCCTGGTGCCCCTGAAGCCATGAGCAGTTGTTCCTACTTATCCCTGTGACGTCCGAAGGCTAAGTTGCTATGGCAACCCAGGCCCACTGAACCGTTTTAAAAACTGTTATCATAAAGGGAACAATTAGCTGTCTCGAGAGTCCATTTAAAGGGGCAACAGAGACGCAATTATTCCTTACAGAGGAAGAGCAAACAGTCCCCATTTCAGAGCCTCTCGGGCGGGGAAGGGCCTGAGAGAGCAGCTGGTCCAAGTCCCTCGTTTTAGAGATGAGGACACTGAGGGCTGGAATGAGCTGGCTCACCCCGGGTCGCACAGACAATTAGAAGCAAAGAATCCTTTGATGGGGGTGCTCCTTCTATTACTGCTGCCTTCTCATCTCTCTTCTGTCGTTCCTTCTCCTTCCTGTCCCTTCCCCTCTATTCTCCACGTACCTACTGCCTCCAAAGATGGTCCTTGGACTGCAAATAGCCTTGTGGGTTCTCTCAACAGCCCACAGTCACAGATCCCCTCGTCGTCCTGCTCACAGCTCCCAGGGCATCCTGCAGTGGCCTGTGAAGCTCCATGCCCTGTCGCCTGGCCGCCTCCCACCACAGCGCTGGCCGGTCCCCATTCCCACCAGCTCACTCAGATTCTTTCGGTTCCTTAAAGACATCAAGCTCTGTCCTCTCCAGAAACAGCACGTCCCTCCCTGACACGGCCACCCTCCCTCCATCCCATCACCCTGTTTCTTCCTTCACGGCTCATATCCCATCTGCAATCACGTCTGGTTGTGCACAACTCCACTTGCCTCCCTCTCCAGGATAAAAAGGGTAACACTTTGTCTCTTTTATTTACGGCCATTTATCCACAACATAGAACGGCGCCTGGGAACACTGAGGGAGCGTATGGATGCCGGAAGAGATTCCCACTGCAGCCCCAGAGTTATGCATCCCCAGAGTGACAGCCTTCTCTGTTTCCTTCTGCTGCTCCAGGAGGGACCAGTTACCCCCATACCTATGGGACTGGGCCCGCCGGGGCACCGCACGTGGAGAACAGAGACACCCGGGAAGGGGGTGGAGAACACAGCCTCTGTGGGGAAGCCGCCAGGGCCGGTGCGCACAGTCACGCAGGAAGAGTGGGCTGGCTCTGCATGGTCCCGAGGTGTGGACGTACGGCGGGTGTGCTTTTCTCACTATGACAACTACTACCAACTGTTCAGTTCTTAGTGCATGCGCTTTACACGCGTGTCTTTAGACTCCAAACTACCCTGCAGGGGAAAACCACCGTCTCCCATCATAAAGCGTGAACATGACACAGCATGCTCTCCTCTCAGCCTCTGCAACAGCCTCAGCAGGAAAATCCCTGCTCATACCCCAGGCCACCTCCTCAGGGAAGTCCCCCCGAGGCCACGTCCGGTTCTCTGTGTCACGTTCCCATGGGACCCTGCACTCATCCATCACGGCTCTTGCCGTGACGGTAGGCACAGCATTTCTGTGTAAATACGGACAGGACACGAGGCAGGGACTGGCTACTGCCATGTCCCCCAGCACAGTACCTGGCCCGTGGTAGCCAACGAGTCATTATTTGTTTGATGATTGCATGGAGAACTAAGACAGAGACACCTGCAGTGAGGTCTAAGTGCAGCTGGACGGAGAAGCAGCGAGTGAGCCTGCATCAGCAGGGCACAGATCTATGCTGCAGGGCCTCCAGGCCAGGGCCCTCAGTGTCTGGCTGGGGTATGGGGGGGGTTCCTTCTAACCTGGAGACACCCCGATTCCTCTGGGCTCTGGACTTACCAGAGCTTGCTCTATGAGGAGGCAGAACAGGATGGCATTGCCCACTTCCCTCAGGCTCTGGAACACGTCTGTTTTGAGCTCTGCATACTCGATGATGTCCTTCAGCTGGTGATGGAAGAACTCCAGGATCCCTGGGAGATAAAGGGGGACGCTCAGCAGGAAGTTGACGCTGCCTCGCCGGGTTTATGGGAAACACTGTGCAGCTCTGGGGTAGCCAAGAGCCAAGCCACATGTCCCTCCATACACAGGCCCAGCAGTGAGCTTTCTTTCAGGGCTCAGTACTAGAAAAAACCTTGGGAAGCTGGCTCAAACCTTTTTCAGAACAAAACAAAACACACACAAATGGAGCAGCCCGGGATCCTTCCCCATCCCTCCAAAAGGTTGCCTGAATTTCTAATAATGATAGGAATTAATATTTATTGGTGTCAGATATTGTGCTTAGCCCTTTATCAGCAATATCTCTTTTAATATTCATAACAGGAACACGAACTAGGCACTATTACCCACCCCTGTTTTCAGATAAGGCATGCCCATAGTCACACAGCCAGTAAGTAGGGTAGCGGAATTCAACACCAGAGCTTTCGGCCCCATCCCTTTCTTATTCTGAAACATACTGACCCACACCTGACATCTTGGTTTTTGGACAAAAATTCCTGTTGCCAAGCTCACAGTCTCCATCTTTCCCTGTTCTCCAAGCCCCATATTTAGTCCTTTTGCTATTAGGAAAGGAAAGAATTATTTCTTGGCCCAGATGTCGAATGGCAAAGATACCTGTTTCCTGGCTCACCTTAGATATGTCACTTGGTGCCACCACCTGGGGCCCCAGCCTCCTACAAATGAGCAGACGGAGGGAGGGCTCCTGGAGGTGCTGAGCTAGTGAAGACCTTTCCCAGTAAACTCTGTTGTTCACTACTTAAGCTCTCTCACATTCGCTGTGCTCTCCCAGCTTCCCTGCAGCCTGCTGGAGATCATATCATCACTCAGGGGGATTAGTTAGAGGCAGGGTAGGATGCAAAGCCAGTGCTCCTCCAGCTCACTAGGCATGTTGGAGAAGCAAACACTCCAAGGTGGATGGCCAGAGCCCCCTCCCCAACATGGCATGGGTTTGGATTATTTTCCTATCACCAACCTGGGGAGCCATACTCGTGCCGGGGCAAGCGGCATATCTTGGGCATGACCTCTATCAGCGTTTTCACATACTGGAGAATCGTGCCTTGGAGCTGACAAAAGAAGAGAACAGATGAGTGAGACCATCCACTGCTTGCGTGCGTGCATCTTGGGGCTGCATGCTGGGTTACAAGGTCGGGGGTATGGAGGTTCTGCTGAGACCTGTGGGTAAGGAGGGAGCAGCTTGTTACCTAAAGGTGGGGGACAGCCCCACTGTTTTCTATAAGGGAAAATGAGCCTTTATGAGACAGAAAGGGGAAAGAGAGTTCTCTCATTACTCTCTTGGGTTTACAGACTTCAGGAGGGCACATTTCTAGGCATGGGGTCCTTCCTGGAGTTGGGGATGCTTACACAATATTCACACTAACAGCTAAAATGAAATGGGGCCAGGGAACTGTGGAGATTGAGAGGCATTACCTAATTTCAGCCTGGAAGATAAATGACACATTTATCCCTTCTCTGTCTAAGGCAGACATCTTTAATCAATTACCACATTTTTCTGTTTTACCCTGGATTTAGCTTTACCATCCTTAACAACCCATGGCTCCTCATAGCTGTTGCCAAGGAATTGGAGTTAGCAGATGAATACTGTGTGCTATTCCTGAGCTGGTTCTCTTTTGTCATCTCAATTTTTCAGGAAAATCTTGGTTAAATGTTTTGGCCTTGCTTTAGCAGTGTTGTGGGGAATTGAAGGATGACCATATTTGGGGCAGATTCAGAATGGTGGTAAAGGGATATAGAATTATCTTGAAGCCAGTGCACTATTGGGAGCAGTGTTTGGGGAGAAATCCCAAGGGGAAGAAGTGGGGTGATTGATTAGAGATGTCTGCCATGGCCAAGGGAGTGGACAATGACAGCAGGTGTGTCATGGATTTGCCGTGCTCTCATTAGATAGTGCGGCACAGCCAGGAGGAGGAGCAGTCATTAGCAGGTTTGAAGGTCAGAATCAGGACTGCTGAGTTCAGTCATCAAATACAATGGTTAGTTCAGGGTCAGAAAATGGTAGGCACAGCTACAGGTCAAAACATGCACGGAAGTGAACAGAATGATGGGTAAGGCCAACCAAGGGATAAGGGCAAAAGACTCTGTGTGATCACTCTAGGCAGAGCTGGAGTGCCTGGGATTTGTCCTCACAGGCCAGGTTGAAAGTAAAAGCAAATCCCATTCATATCAACCCCACCTGGGCACACCCCGGGCACACTGAGGCCCTTCCTCACCAAGCTCTTGACAATCTTCAGCAGCTCCTCCATGACCACAGCGATGCCCTGGTAACCCAGCAGTCTGCAGATGGTCTTGAAGTGGGGGGGCCCCACGAAGTTCCTGTAGGAGCTATAGATGTGGCTGTAGGCAATGTTGAGAGGCTGGAAAACAGAGGTTGTGGCAAAGTAAGTGGCTGAGTATCTAATGGATGCTGGGGCCGGTCCCAGCAGGAGATGTCTTGTTGATAGAAGGGATGGGAACTCCATGTCATCAGCTCTCTCACTGGGACCCCATGAATATGTTTGCAAGATCCTGGCCACAGAGAGAGGTGTGGCCAGTGATCACAGGATGGAGCAAAGGTCACCAGATGGAGCAGCTGTTCCCTAGCAGAAGAGGAGAAAGGGCTTCCAGACAAACATCCCTTTCACAGGGATTCCTGCCACCCACGGCTGTCCACATACAAACCAGGACGTTTACACACAGAGCTATGGGCGTATGGGTAAAATGGCTGATTTTCACTCTCTAGAGGCATTTCTGATACTAGAAATTGGCTGGAAGAACCATGTGTAAACTCAGTAGCTGGTTCAACGTCCTCTTCTTTCTTCTACTGTTTCCATCTGTGACACCGTGGGCGCCTGGCAGTCGGGAGACCTCTGCTGAGCGCACGGGACAATCACTTAGGCTTCTGAGCCTCAGCTTCTTCATTTAGGAAATGAGGGGGTTGGATTAAACCAGTGGTTTCACGACTTTGAGAGCATCGGTCTGCGGAAGCTTGGTGCTGGCTGGGGGCCCAGGGCCCTGGCCACTGACCAGCTGCCGCCACTGTCCCCTGGACCCCATGAGATACCATAACTGAATTAGAGGGATCTCTTTAAGATCCCTTTCTGTCTGAGAATATATGACCAAAATATAGGACTCCAAATTGGTCTCACTTGGTTGGTGAGAAAGTAAAGTTATCATTGACTTGAATGCTCTGTTTCTGAAATGCCGTCACTTACGGAGCACCTCATGCCAGGCTCTGTGAAGCCCTCCACGCACATTCTCATTTAATCCACACAGCAAACATACGTGATACATACCATTTTTAGCCCCATATCACAGATGAGGAAACTGAGGCTCAGGGTGGCAAGTAGCTTGCTTGAGGTCACAAAATTCGTAGATAACTGAGCCCTGACCTCAACCAGGTAGAGCGGATTCCAAAGCCCATGCTCTACCTATAATGGCATACTTTGGAAGTTGAATTCTTATATAAATCATACTAAGTTTTTTAGATAAGGTTTCAATTCAAAACTTAGTTCTGAGTACAGTTTTTCCACCTGGAACTGCAAAAATATTGTACATGTAACATGCAAATATGGGAAGACCACATCTGATAGTCTGTTCACTGAAATTTTCTATTAAGTTGGCTAATAAATTCTACATGAATTAAATAGGAATTATAATGATGCTTCTGGAGGACTGCAAGATTCTCCACTCCCTTTGGAGCCATCGAGGGAAGATTTAATTATGTTCAGTCTAAGTTTTGAGTTAAGTATGTTGTACACCATATACAAATTATTCCAAACCTTACAAAACAAGCATCGCAATTAGAGTACGTGCTAATAACAAGGATACACGAAGAACACAATTAGAGTTCCCACTAATAACAAGGATTCGTGAGGAATTAGAACACTCACTCATTCACCAAGTTGAATAACTGTTTGGCGAAGCTCATGACTACACATTGGGAGGTTTGGAGTGTGAGAAAGAGCAGTGTTCTGTACGCAACACGGAGAACCTGCCACGTTAAACTCTGTCTGAACCTAGGGAGGGACATATTTTATGTAGTTTACAAATGTATAGGCCAGGAATGGTTTATGTAGGGAGGGAAATATAACTGACCGAAAAGTATAATGCTCCAGCAAACCCTGGAAGTGTATGACTTGCTGAGTCTGATTTAGCCACCCGTGCGGCCAGGCTGTGTAATTTTTTTCTATGGGGAGAAAATCTATTTTAGTGCCTCTGTAACAGGCCACCCTGTCAAACAGGGCTGGGAGGAGGTGGAGGCGAGTGAGGCCTGTAGGACGAAAAATGCTGGGAGGTGCTTTCTCTCCACAGTGCGTGTGGCTCAGTTCTGGCCCTGTTATCAAAGCCCCATTCCCATGTTTCCCTCTCCAGGGCTGAGCAGTCTATGGCAGACATCAGACAAACCACCGCTTTCCTCTGGTGGGCGAAGACTGTCTGGAGGGGAACGAGAGAGCTTTCTTGGGTGATGGAAAAGCTCTACATCCTGAGTTGTTGACTACAAAGATGCGTTTGTTAAAACTCCTAAAACTGTGCACTTATGATCTATGCCTGTACGGACCGAATGGTTGTGTCCCTCCCAAATCTGTCTGTTGATATCCTAAACCCCAATGTGATGGGATTAGGAGGTGGGGCCTTCGAGAGGCGGTTAGTCATGAGGGTGGAGCCCCCGGGAACGGGATCAGCTTCCTCATAAGAAGACTAGGAAGCTCGCTGTCTCTCTCCTCTCTGCCACGGGAGGATACGGAAAGATGGCCATCTGCACACCAGCAAGTGGGCCCCCACCAGTAGCCAGATCTGCTGGCACCTTGATCTGGGATTTCTCAACCTCTACAACTGTGTGAAATACATGTTTGTTGTTTGAGTCACTCAGTCTATGGTATTCTTGCTATAGCACAGCAGACAAAAGATAGTGCCTTTTCCCCTATATGATTATACCTCAATAAAAAATGTAAAAACCCCACTGGGCTATGTCATAGCCTAATTAAATTCCCATTATTTTCAAAGACTAAAAAGCACAACCATGCTTTGAATTTTCTCCTGAAGAGGGCCACAGCTCAAGCTTGCACAGGGACAAGGGACAATGACCTGGCTGTGCTCACAGCCAGGGAGCATGACATGGAGCTCATGGACTGTCCACATGGCCTTGTCATCCCACCCACACCAGGGACCCTGGGCTTCTCCTGCAAACCCAGTAAAGCCCTCAGCACATTCTCCTTGTCTCCTCTTCAAATATCCTCTGAAAGGAATTTTTGAGTAGCAAGGAGCTTTCATATGCATCTCTCTGAAGAGGACAAAAAGCAATCAGCTACTTATTTTTTCTGTCTTATTCTCTGACTTCTTTTCTAGCTTTGTCTCTGTTTAGAGGATGGGCTCTTGGGGTAGGCACACCTGAATGCAAATCCTAGGGTCCATAAATTTACTAGCTAGATGCTCTTGTCAAATTACTTAAACCCTCTAAGCCTTGGTTTCCTCTGAGTAAAGATAATACCAAATCTAATAGAGTTGTTAAAGGTTTAAAAGTTATATAACACATGTAAAGCAGTCAGCATGGAAGCAGCCACTGAAATAATAGCCATTAGTATTACTTTGTTTAGTAACTTGGTAAGGAAAGACTAAGAAAATACAGCTTCCTGGTCGAATTTCCCCAAGCGGCTTTGGCTACAGCTATGGCTATGATTCCGTGGCGAGGGGAATGCATATCTAAGGTATAATTTTATACAACACAGTGTGTATCCCACGGTGGGATATGACAGAGGCCAGTGCTAGGACCAGCTGATGGAAGGCACCAAAAAATGCACAATTTTACTATTAAGAACATCATAAAAGTGAGAGATGCCCAGCAACAAGCGGTGCTGGGCAGAGGCCCTCCTCGCTACAGGTGACGGAGTGGAGGTGGAGACAGATGTGTTCTCATGCTTCCTCCAGAGGCTCAAACCCCAGTGCTCTCTCCTAGATGCTCACTCTCCTTAGCAGTCTCCTAAGCCCTCACCCCCACCCAAGGAGCGCCTAGTACCAAGCTTCCCTTAATACTTCCCAGCGAGCACAAATAAATACATGTTTGCATGTATGGAAACTATTCAATAGGCTTGCCCAGTTCTAGGCAGAGGAGGAGAGTAATTGTGGAATTTTTTTACTGCACAAGGATTTTAAAAATCCCCCCTACAGACCCACTGGGTGCACTTAGGAGGCCTTCAGTTGACGTTCCTACGTCAGTCTTGCATTCTGGTCTACACTGGAAGTCCAGGCCTCAGTGGATGGCCCAAGCTGCATTTCATGCAGGAAGAACTCGCATGAAATAAGGAGAATTCAAATCCTCCTCCTAAGTGAACAAGCTCCCCCCACCCCTCATTCCCCCGGAATAACACCGCACGCATGCAAGAGGAAACGCACACACATGCGGAAAAGCACATGCACACGCACCCCCGGAGGGCAACCTTCTGACCTGCTGGCTCAGGAGGAGGCTTGGCCCTACTGAGAAAATGTGGGAATAGGGGAGCCTGGGCATTTTCTGAGGTTTGGCAAAGAAAAACAGGAAGGCAACATGACTTGAGACACTGGAAACTTGCCACAAATCAACACTGCTAACTGACTCAAGTTACAACCAACGGACCTAATAGGAAACTAATCATGTATGCCATCTGCTTTGGATGGCTCACTTAAAATCAAGCTGTTGAAATCCACACTATACAAAATAGGCAACTTTATGAGATTTCAAGAAATAAACAATCCTGATTCAGGAATTAGAGTCATGTTATTACTGTAGGACACAGAACTGCATTTTCTAAACAAAGCAAAACAGTATTTTAAGGAGAGAAAAAATATGGCGAGTTTGATCTGGCAGATCCTGGGCACCATAATATTATCTGTAGATGGACTTTTTTTTTTTTAATTATGGTAAAATATACATAATATTAAATCTAACATTTTAATCATTTCAAGTGCTACATATAGATTTTAATCATAAGGTCTCTGTCTCTCACCAGATGGTAAACACGGCCAATCATTCCAAACAGTGAGGCCTATTTATTTGGCAATCTGTATTCGTAAGCAATTTGCATCTCTGCTCTCTGGAATCTCAATTGCTGTTTTCAGAAATCCCAAGAGGAATTAAAACTGTTTCTAATTTCCTGTTTTCATTACAATTTCTCTAACGAACACCATCAGACCACAAACACAAACACAGCTCTCTAATTCAGGTCGGAGAGCTGCAGCTCAACTCTCTAAAATCACCGCAGATAAATGAAGGGGATATGGGAGGGCGTGGAGAGTGGGGGGTAAATGAATAAAACAGCAACACTGTCCTTGTCGGGAAGGTCACAGAGCAAGATCGTTCAAAGGACTGACCAATCATCGGTTACAAGTTCAGATCCATTGC